CGTGTTCGTAGTTAAGTCGAGCGCTCCTCACGCACTCAACATCGTTGATACGCCAAAGTAAGTAGCTGGGGCTGGGATCGAGGATGGGATTATTTTCCATGTTTCCTCTAAAGTTGTATCCCCTTTTTGAGGCGGGGATCTTACACGCGGGCGAGAGACAATTTTGTGAAGAGCTTGGGTCTGATTAACAACATGATCATTTATTGGAATACATTTTGCGATATGGAGCGACTATTTTTCATTCACTTCAGGAATAATGTAAGTTCAATCAGCTTTCTTACACAAGTAGGTGCTTATAGATGGGCTTGAAGAACAGTGGTCAATATGAAGTCAAATTGTCAAGATTCTGTCAGTCTAGAAATTCGAAACTTAAAAGTCAGCCCCGGTCGGTGGCTTTCCGATAGGAAATTAGTTTTTACATCAAAATTGTATTCGGAGGTTATGAAAACTTAAGAGCAGGAATACTCATTTATTCAAAGCCCTCATTGTGAGATACATTTTTTTTTTTGGATACACGCTTGCATAGCTAACGATGTTTTAAGATGCGATCTGTAAAGAGCGTATAGTTGGTAATGTTCATAAAATATTGAATAAAGGACTAAAAATGTGACTAAGGACCAAGAAATTTGAACATTTTCTTTGTAGAAATTCAATATACATTTCGCCTAGATAATTTTAAAAGTTGAGTTTTAGACTCAAAAAACCCAACTTAACAAAAAAAGATTTCGCTCAACAGAATCTCTTCTACGGTATAACATTTAACGCAGCTTTTTGGACATTTTACACTTTTTTGAAAAATTCCGGAAAGAAATCTTCAAAACACCACATAACTTTACTAAAGGACATTACCACAAAAACTTGGACTTGTTTTAACTGTTTAATTTTAACAAATTCCTCCGAATGTGAAAATGCCAAAAATACGACTAAAAAACCCCCCCAAAAACGCGATTTCCTTTTTTTTTTCAAAAATGTGATTGCAATTGTTTCAGAGTTCATGAAAATCATAGATAATTACCATTATGTGTCGGAATACATAAACATCGCGAACAGTCCAAAAGTGATTTAACCCGATAAAAGAAACAATTCAGCCCTAAACAACCGTGATAGGCCTATTTACTGGCCGAGTCGGCAGTCCATTTTACGTTATTTATGGAGGCCGATAAGCCCGTAGGTTATCTCTAGTCCGAGGTTGTCAGGATCGATAGGAAATGCCCGACTTTTCTCGCACAAATAACGGTAAAATGACGGTAGAAAACACGATTTTGGAGGCGAACCGGCAACATTCCTTGTCGTCGGTCCCATTTTTCATCTCGTCTCCGCTTTCGAGAGAGGATTCGGCTCAGACAGCCAAAATCCCGCGTGGGCACGGTAGAAGGATGATTTTTTGGACCTTTTCCCTCCTAGCCTGCCAATCTATTGACTGGCGAAGTCTGGAATTGCTCAGGAATTGCTCGGAAGTGAAGGAAACAAGCAGATGATTCTAAAATACCGATTGATTGTAGAGTGTTCGCAAAATCTAAGGTTCTTATTAAAGAAAATTTCACGGGAAATTCAATGGAACTACTTTCAGAACCTCGAATTTTGATATAAACAGAGTTATGAGCGTTTAAAGTTTCCAAATTTTGTCCGTCCTCTCTCATTGACTCAATGCACGGTGCGGCGTTGACACGAGTCCTAGTTGAAACCAATGAAAACGTCTCACTCTAGACGACCTGCATCCTGCATAGCGACATCAAATCCCGGGGGAGGGGGATAGTGCTTTGCGGGAGGGCGATAAGAGGGGCTTTCGGGGGTGGCGACGCATCGGCAATGAAACATTTCGAGGAACATCAATAACAACGATGAGGAGTATAAGAATCGAGTCCCAGAAGTGGGTCAATTGATCCCCAGAACAATCTCAGCGAGTCAACCCTGTTCCTGTTTGGCCCGTCTTTTTATTGGCGGCGCTAATCCGGAAGACCAACCCTCTCCCTCGCGTGGCGTCGCGTTGGGGCGACCGTCCGTCTGGCCCTGTCACCTACTGCCCCCCCTCCCCCCCACTGGGAACTGTGGAACTCGAAACTCAGGGTTGAGATTTATACCTAAATTGTCAGACTTGGATTTCAGGACTACTGACATATCATGCTGAGGAAGCGTCGCAGGGGGGGAATAGTAGTTTTCCTTTCACTGAAGCTGAGTATGGCAGGGTGGCATGAAACGTAAGAAAGAAATGAAAGACTGGAATTTCAATGAAGTATTTCATGAAATTTCACGAGGCTGTGAAATATTTCATATTTTTCAGGGGCTAGAGTATGCAACCCGCACTCAAATACACAAAAATGGAAGAAAGTCGCAATTTTTACATTTTGCGAAACAAGAATAGGAACCGGTATTTTTCGATGTCTTTCATAAATTTCTGAAATGTCATGGAATATTTCACGTGAAATTTCAAGATTTTCTTTTGTATGAAATTTTGCCACCCTGAGTATGAGTTTACAGGACCGAAACATGAATAATCTTTGAAACACGTTAGGTTGGCAACGGAGCGCAAAAGCTAACACTTAGGACGGAATCAAAACATGAACCACTCTAATAACACTCGAGGTGGCGCACGAGCTTTTGCAGCGCAAAGGATGCGAACGCTGTTGCCAAATTAAGCTAAAGACTATACAATTTCTACCCGAGCGTTCTGCATTATGTCTTCGAACACACAATTTTTTGACAGGGTGTCTTCTAAAACAGGCTGGTCAAAAATCAGATCTTTTACAGTACTTTTTCAGCACATTCCAAAAAAATGCAATACCTTCTTTACAGAAAAATTCATTACTTTTGCAAAACCTCCAATTGACGAATTTCGAAAAATTCCAAAAATTTGAATTTCTTATTCGAACTGCGACAAAAACAGAAAAAATCCCGCACCTCCTTGCGGAATTTCCGCACTTTTCCAGTACTTCCGGACCGCCCTTAAGAAATTAGTACTATTTCCGGACTTTCCGAAATTCCAGACTTGTAGACACCCTGATTGGAGCTTCGGATTATTATTTTGTACGATTTGATCTTACAAAGAAATTTGGAAAAAAGAGGCCATTTATGGATTCAGCGACAAAAATTACATTACATGGAATTGATTTTTTCGGACACCTCCAATGTATTCGTGACTGTCCCTTTCCTACTTGTCAAAGCCATGCCACCTGATAATATTAGAACCTACTTTTCCAGCAACTCGTAACCCAATGTAAAAATGCCTATCCAGTTACGAAGAAAACAAAATCCGTGAGAAAACTCCAGGCAAAGAGCTATATCGAGAGAATGAATAAAGGTTTTTGGAAAACATGTTTTGTGACAGCAGCGGCTGGCTACGAATACCTAACTATCGTGGAGCCACTTACAAGGAAGGTTATGTACTTATTTCTCCAAGTACCTAAAACTAGTTTCCCTGCGATCTGGCGTGTACGCAGGGTGGATTTTCAAAGGACGAGGAGGTGATTATTTGCACAAAGGCTGGATCCAGCTCTGCGCTGGCTGTGCTGCGCCCGGACCCTAGGACGAGACACTGGATTCTTGGCTCAAGACAAACACGCTGATTGAGCTACAGAGAAATTATTTTCGATCCTCCTGTCTAATTTATCTCATTGCTCCCTCTCTTCTCATTCCGTGCCGCTGTCCGTCTCTTGTTTCCTTTGACGGTCTATAGTGCTTTTTTCGAACTTACGCCAAAAAATCGCTTGGAGATATATTTTCTCGAGGGTGGAAAGCTACGTACGGATGAAAAGAATGGGAATGACCTTTACTGAAAAAAAATCTCGGTGTATTTACTAAGAAAAGGGTAAAATTACCAAGAATTCAGGGTTCTATTTGATCCCAGTTTTTTCTTGGTAAAATTACCATTTATGGAATTGGTAATTTTACTGAGAAATCTGGGTAAAATTAATGAACTTTCTCGGTAATTTTACCGGACCTTGCTAAACGCCAATATTTTTTATCGACTGTGGTAGAATTACCGAGATAAAATGACAAAGTTACCGGGAATTGATTACCAATAAAAGAGGGTATTCTTACCTGGAAAAAACAGTAAAAATACCGGTTTTTAAGTAAGCTTACCAGTCTGTCTTGGTAAAATTACCAATAATTGGTAAAAAAGTGAGATGGTAAAGGTACCAACGGACCCTCGTAGAAACGCCGAAAATTTTTTTTCAGTGTTGTATTTGGTCGTTAGAAAATCTAGAGGCTAGCAACAGGCATCTACGAGGCATCCAAGTACGAGGCATCTAAGTACGAGGCATCTAAGTACGAGGCATCTGTTGCCAACAGATGCCTCGTAGAATGAACTGCATGCCTAGTTAGCGTTACTAAATGCATAGTTAACCAGACATCTGATGCTGGTCAACAGATTTCGCGGTGATTATATTATCTTGGTAATTGTGGTGTTGGGTGCAAAAAAGACATTTCTTGGTTGCGCTGTCTCCAAAAATTCACTGTTAATTTATGTATCAGAGAGGAAACTATTCAATGAATTTTCTGAAATTTTCCGTTTTCAGCATTGTAAAGTCATGAAAGCAATTCAGTAAAAGTTTGAAAGAATGCCATGGAATTTGCTTTTATTATAATGGATGAAACGTTAGCGGAGATTTTGAGTTCCCGCGACTAAGAAATGCCGTTTCTGCACTTAGCGTTTTAATTAAGGATTAGCTTGGTAAGTTTCTCCTTTTTAAAGCAAGTTATAAATGAGGCAATCTTCTTTAAATACCTCAATATAACAATTTCTTTTTCCAAAATGATCCAAAAATGTCATTAAAAATTTTCAAAATGATTGTTGCTTCGAATTTTCTAGGAATAGTGGCTCAAAAGAGATAAAGCTTGAAGAATAAGTTACTTTATACACAAGAAAATTGTATTAGCCCGAAGAGTCTCCTTCGGATATTTAAGAGCATAGTTTTAAATTACCCCGTAGAACCAGGCATTCAATAGCCACAATACAAATCATGTATTCCGTGCACGATCAGAGAAATGGTTTCACTCACCTGCAAAACTCCTAATTCCGAGGCAGTTGGAAGGATGCAGCTGACGCAAAAGGAACTTACAACAGGCTTCACGCACTAGGTTTATTTGCAGAAGATTCGAGGCTGGTAGTAAGACCTGCAACAATAACAAGACGACATCAGAATTGAGTTGAAACATCGATTCGTACTCCCGCCTCAAGGGAAATCGCGACAAACACGTTTAAGTTTTTCACCCCGAGAAGCGATTCCAGTTTCGGAAGTTCAATTTTAGCTTCACGTCGCGCAGTGAATCGAGTCAATTAGAGAGGTTGGACATTAAACTTTTGGCTAAAAACGCAAATTTCGATGTTTATTTGGTCACATTTTAATTTTTAAGGGGTGCTTCTAGAATCAAATTTGACGAAAAAACCAATTGGACCTCTTCTAGAACCTCGCAGTTTTGTATATGCGGAGTTATAAGCGTTTAAAGCTTCCAAATTTTGTCCAACCTCTCCTATTGACTCGATCCACTGTGCGTTGTTGTAAACATGATCCGGTGGCCCGGATTCAAGATTTTCGCAAGATGGATTGTCATCGTTTTGGTACAAAATTCCTTGTGCTTAATCAGAATTGTGTTTTGAAAATTTCGCACTTAAACGTCAAAATTATTTATGCAGGAAAGGGAAAAATCCAAGCAAAGGATGACTCGGTAAAGTTGATCAACGGAAACTCTACGGATCATGCTCAGATACGTACATTTTTTGAGAGTAAACAATTTTAACGATTGGTAACGATTTTAAATCCATTGAAAACTATTAAAATATTTTTCAGAGCACTGACGATGTCGCAACAAAATAATCAGTAATAGTTAATTTCATCAGCGCAATAGACAACGCTGGAATTAAGTTATAAGATGTAAGACGAACAAGCGAAATACGCTCGGTTAGTATAGCATACAGTGAAAACCGGACGAATATCATCATAACTCCTGCATGCAACTATTCGACCTCTGCGGATGTCTGTGTTGCGTGCGCCAGAATTGAAGGCGCTTTGATTCTCTAGCTACTTACCGCTTGAACTGCGACACAGCGCGCGGACAAGTTAAACGATGCGTGTCACGATATTTACATCCCACACTTGACTGAATGTGTTCGTGTCAAAGAGATGCATTTTTAGTGTTAACGGAAACGGAAGGCGCTCCATCATTTTGGATCCTCGCAATGTAGCCCGCTATATGCAGTTTAAACGAAGAATGGTGGGCGCTTTTGACGATTTGGACTTTTCAGGCACTCGCCACTTCACCCGCGGCAAGCTGCACTGCGAGTATCCAAAATGATGGAGCGCCTTCCGTTTTCGTTCACACTAAAAAGGCATCTCTTTGACACGAACACATGCAGTCAAATGTGGGATGTAAGTATCGCGACACGTAACGTTTAACTTGTCCGCGCGCTGTGTCGTAGTTCAAGCGGTGGGTAGCTGGAGAATCAAAACGCCTTCAATTCTGGCGCACGCAACACGGACATCCGCAGAGGTCGAATAGTTGTATCCAGGAGTTATGATGATATTCGTCCCGTCTTCATTGCATGCGATACTAACTGAGCGTACTTCGCTTGTTCGTCTTGCATCTTAACTTAATTCCACTGATTTTTTGATGCGACATTGTCAATGTTCCGAAAAATATTTTGATTGTTTCAATGATTTCAAAATTTGCCACCCTTTGAAACCGGAAAAAATGTGGATATCTAAGAATGATTTGCATAAATCCCATCAAACCACTTTAACGCGACGTTCTTTGTTTGAATTTGTTTGAAAAAACACGATCTGCACGATCTGCTTCAATGACGACATTAACGGTTAAGAATTGTATAAATGGTCTGGTGATCACTGCGATTTTAGTTGACTCTTCTGCCATGCTAAGAAAGAGTCCCGATCGAACATTTGGGAGTTGCAAAAGTTTCCGGGATAAAAAATATATTTTAGAGGAAAGTTATGGATATTTCCTCTTAGAAGTTTAAGATATTTTAGATTAAATTGCGAACAAAATCGTATGAAAATTTCTAAGAAAATCATACACAATCCTCCCTGCAAATTCGTACCTTACTGGAGGAAATATGAAAACGTCTGCCGGTTCATAGGACGTTTTTCCTTATCACGACATTATTGATGTGTCACTCTCAAGGAACTTGACGGATATAATCAAGAGACTTTATTAAAGAAACAGCGAATAAAGAGACCTGGAGAATTTTCATTGGGGATTTCGAACCAATTTGCCTTAGGGCATGCAAATACAAGCTCGCAGAGTCGAGGTGTCGGGACAAAAAGTTTTACCGTGGGGGTGAAAGGGAGCCGAGCTTCCACGGTGTTGTCTTTTGGAGAAATAAAGAGGAAGTTTTCAAGAAGGGTTCACATGCTCAGGTGCCTATTTCGGCCTTTTTGGGTACAGCCGTCTCTTTAATATGGACTTATCGCAAACCTCAGCTAGAGGAAAAATAAGAGTTGATTTTTATGGATTGTATTTCAGACCTTCCTGATGCACTCATCGTGATGTTCATAAAAAATAGCTCTTCTCTTTGCTCTAGCTGGAGTTTGCAACAGTGGCGTGGCGCGAACAATCGATTATCAATATTTCCCCATTTGAAGCTATAGTAAAGAATCGATAAGGATGTTTGTTACGAACACCCTGTTTATCGATTCTTTTCCATAGGTTTAAATGGCAGATCAATCGATAAATCGCAAAGCACGCCACGCCACTGGTTTGCAACATCAGGTTTATTATAATTCCATTGACAAGAAGATGTTATGCTATCATCGGTGAGCACGATATAGTTTCCAAGAAACCGTTTATTGCACCAACTCCCCATCAATAAAAAATAGATGCATTAGTTGCACTGCGAGAAGGGTTTTCATTTTCAAAAACACACCATTTGTGATCAAAGATGGTTTTGACCATTATTTAGGAGTCCATGTTCATCCCGCACTTAGAAAAAAAATGACTTGGATTTGCAGACAAGCAAATTTTCTCTAAAATCGGATATAAAATCGGTTGAACGAAGTAGATTTATGCTTGATATATAGACAACCCTTTCCATCGCATACGCATCAATTTCGCCTCATTTAGGAGCATTTTTTTCTTGGTAGAAAATTCTAAAAAATGCGTATTTAAATTAAGTCGCTTGTTTCACAAAGATACGGTAGAAAACTGGTCTGTAAGTGTTCTTCCCACAGAACGCCCATAATTATGCCAACTTCTTACTTTTTTGTAGCTCAAATTACATGACTATCGGATTGAAAGTGTAATAAAAATAATAAATATGAGGAAGGAGGCGGAAGAGAAGAAGAAAGAGAAGAGAAAGGAGAGAAAGGGGCAGAAGAAGAGGAGGCGACGACATAGAAATAATTGTAAAACTCTTTCCATCGACTGCTGCAGTCAACAATATATACTTTGTATACATGGCAGCCCTGTTCCGAAATTACCTAAACTTTAAATAGAACTCAACTAGCGTGTTCCGCATCCAAAAGAGCAACATTTTCGGGAAAGGCGACCGGCAAAGATGAGGGGGGGGGGGGGGGGAGGAGGATGCGCGAGGAAAAAAGTTTGGGGATAAGAAACGAGACGCAGGATGAAGTTGAGAGAGGGGCGAGAAACTACTTTACCCTCAAGTGACGAAACTTTACAGCAAAGACAAAGACATATTGAGGATTTTTGCGAGAAGGATGTAGTCTTTGTTTTGACTGATCGGTGTTTGTGTTCCATTCTTTTGATTGAACCCCGAGATAAAAAATATGCTTCCGCGAACGGAGGAGAGATTTCTCAGGAAGACGTTTCTGTTGCCTTGTTATTTTAACATTTCGACTCTTTTGAGACAGTATTTTGTTCACGGTATCCATCTGCTGACCTTATTCTAAATAGTTTTACTGAAATCTCATGAATTCGTAATATATTTATAACGAACCACATAAACTGGAGTTAATTCTTCAGGAAAATGAAGAAACGAGAATGAAAAATACCAGGGGGTGAAGATTTGATTGCTTGGTATTTCAAGGGCAATTTTGGATTTAGAAGCATGCTTCAGACGAACGAATCGCAGAAAAGGAATGGCAAAATAATTTTTTGGCAAGTTTTGAGATGACATTTTCAAATAGTGCGTCAGCTCCAATGCATTTTCAGTTCATCATAAGGAAGTTTCGGAGAACGGTATAAATGTGCAGATGATCGAAAAATTTACCATTAATGACCGGGACCTGAATTAAACATTTTTGATACCCTACATACGGAAACAATAGGTTGAACTACTGAAGTGATAGAATAAAACATGTCTAATTGCGACTGCCCTGAAATAATGAATATATCGACACAATCAGAATAATCAGTACTACGCAGGTGAATTTCAACAAATGCTTTCACTCCCAAAAACAAACATTCTTTGCCTCATGATGATAATAATTTCTTTCATAAAAATTAAAAATACAAATAAATCAATACTTCAATTGAGCCCACTTTACGCTTTATCTACTTCCAATTTTGGACCTACTTCTATAGAATTTTGAGTGATTACATCTTTGTGCTGTCATTTCGTTTTTCGAGGTAAATTTTCTCTTCCACCAATACAGTATATACTTGATAAACATGTTTATACGATTAATAATTTTTCTCGATACATACAAACCGATTTCAACGCATGTCTCAACCGCTCATTTCCTCCTAGAAGCGTGAGAAAATCTTAACCCCCCATGTTCCTCCAAAGCTCTCGTCCGGATAATGTTCCACCCCCTCCCCCTCTCCACCACGACATGCGACAAGCAGGAAATCCGAATGACATCAAAAGTAGCTTTGCGGCAACGACACATGGCAAAGCGACGGGAGACGACCAGGGTGCCAGACAGCAGAAAGACACGACAAAATCCTTCAGAAAATTGAAAATCCACGGTCAAACTTGACAACAAGGCGGGCTAGACGCGCGGCTTGCAGAAAAGTGAGGGGGAGAGGCGGACGAAACTTGTGCATTACGCGGCATCTTAGGCGCGGAGCACGCCGCGCCTTCGAGCAAGGGAGTTATGCAGCCGGCTATGCACGACGACCGCGGCGGCATTGCAGCCGGCGCCTTCGAGCGGGGCGGCCACAACCCGGCGCGCGCGGGAGCAGCGCCGGGAGCATCGACCTCGAATTCCGTGCTTGCTGCCAGTCGATCCGCTAATTTCCATGTCTAAGACCCCCAAGTCGGGTATTTCCGCCGAACGAGCGTTATTAAAATCTCGTCGGGGGTTTGACGGCCCGTGCCGCCTCTCATTACTGCAGTGCTTAGCGAGAACCGCGTATCTATGTAGAGATTTTCCTGGACTTGGGTGGTTCTTTTTCGTGCGGAACGGTCGGGTTCGACGAGGCGGGCAAAAACATGAATGAACACTGCCGTGCTAAGGAAAAACGCCGTATGGACCTTCAGGCGTTGCCAAATTTTTTTTGTAAATCACGAACTTTGGGGGAAATTTATGATTATTTTTCCTACAATTTTTCAGATAATTTTGTTCGTAATTTCAACTAAAGTTCCTGAAAATTTCAATGAAATATATTCATTCACTGGAAAAAAACACATTGGATCTAGAGTCCAGACTCTTAAAAACATCGACAAAAAAAAGTACTCTTGATTCAATCAGAATCTAGCTTAAATCAAGAACAAAGCCTCTTAATTTAAGCGGATCTCGTTTTGATTCAAGCAAATATCGGATTGAATCAAGAGTATTTTTTCTTGTCAATGTTTTCAAGAGTCTGGACTCTAGATCCAATGTGTTTTTTTTTCAGTGTTGCTTCCGTCAAAAATGAACATTTTATTGGAGGAAATTTGGCAACGCTTGAATGTTCATACGACGTTTTTCCTTAGCACGGCGGAACACGGCACGCACGTTCGACGTTCGGTCTTGCGCTCCTCCATTAGCTTTGATGAGATATGCTCGCTATTGATGCAGTTTGACGGGAAGAGGGGCTCTGTTAGGAATCTCCGCCCTTTCTACTTAGTACTGCCTTTCTCATTTGAGAAAATATCAAGAAGGTTCAGGTTCATTGTTACCACAGCGGGCTGATAATTGGACGTATTCCTGCCAACCGGAACTATGTGCATGGCGTGAGCCCTATTACGCATAAAGGGTCTCAGGGCTCGTGTCTTGATGCACATAGTTCCGTTTGACAGAAATACGTCCAATTGAAATTGATAAACAAAGAAAAACATATTAAAACGAAGGGATCCTATTGGAGGCGGATGGTTGCAATGGACAAGGGGGTAAGTAATAGAATAGACTAACTAACAGCAACCCACGAGAGATCTTAAAGTTAGTCCATCATTTTCAACCTTGGTCCATAACAGCCGCCCGTTCCAACCAAGATGATCACTCCATTATCGAGTCTATCGCTTTATTAGTCAACTTCAATAATCACCCCGCAGGTGGCTCTTCGGTACTTTCAAGAACGATTTGAAAGTCGATCGATCGATGGGACTACATTTTCCATAGGGGCTTAGAGGACAAGGAGCATGTGCAGTATTTGCTACTTCGAGAAATACGTGTTTAAAGTTTCGAAATTAAATGGATCCTTGTGGTGGAAAGAAAGTTCAAACTAAATTTTTGATGCTTAAAAAGATTTTGGAAGCAAATGTTTCACAGAATATGCATCAAGACTAGTTTTACTTGAAATCATTAATATCTTATTTTTTTCAAAAACTGCACTTATGCGCCTTGTCCTCCAAGCCCCTCAACTAAGAACTACGATTTCTGGCTCTTGGATAAAAACACGCATATGCTTAGAAAAACATACGTAGTTTCTAAAACGAGTCAGTTCCTAATTTCAAAATGTGGCCAATTGATTAATTCTGGATTCGAGGACATGTCTCAAAAAATTCCGAGATCTCATCAGGTTGTAATATATCAAGTATTTGGATTTTGTACATACACAACATTTGACCGAAAAATACTTTGAACTAATTTTGATTTTTCTATGGGCATTAAGGATACAATTTTCCATGGAAGATCGAAGCCGATGGTCAAATTAGACATATAATTCTGGGTGGAAAACAAAATAAATAAACGATCTTACCTGAACATTATCTTCTGTAATTTGTACTTCGCCAGTATAGGAATAGTCGACTAAAAGTCGAAGTGCGGTGGGATCTACATCGTGCAAAACTATTTCCCTGGCCGATTTCTCTGCCATGTCATCTGCAAAAGAAGAAAGATGATTAAAATTAATCATGAGTCAAAGAATTAACGATTCGAAGCCGCTATCGGGTCGAGAATTTTGATGGGAGAACTAGTATGGAGAGTCGGGGAGATGATCTTCGCCAGAAATCTTCTAGGTCCACCTTTCTAAAAAATGAAAACTTTTTTGGAATAAGTGCATGACATCCCTGTCATCTTTGACGTGTTATTTTAATCAATTTCCCGAAAAAAAACCAGCTTGAAATTGCTGTCAAAACGTTTGGATCTTCAAAATTATCTCAAAAATACCTCCCGGACCCCTCCCAGAAGCCAAGAAAGGCCCACCTGGCCTAAGTATTATATTTTCTGGACAAGTGTATCGATGGCTAAACTGTGAAATCTCGAATTGAAACCATGTTTGTGGCGTTACAGATCTCCGGTCATACTTCATTTTTTCTTTGGAAAACTACTTAACTTAATTTCTTGAACACTTCCCTGATTTTTCCTCTTTGTTAGCAGATTATTCCGCTATTTCGAGCACTATTTTTCTCCTACTTTTTAACTTTCAAGTTATATGTATAGGTGACTTCAATCTCTCCGAAAAAATAAAATAGAAACGAAGATATTGGCACACCGCAGTGGAGATCCGTGACTTTGCACTGTAGCCATCGTGTTTACGAAAAATTAAAAACTAAATGTTCCTCGTCTGAGAGAGATGCGTCGAATCTACCATCATCTTACAGGCTGGTTTAAAATGCTCACGATAATCAGTTCTCATCGTCGTAGACCGCGTCATAAAACAATAATAAATAATGAGGAAACCACTCATCCTCGGGGAACCTTCAACTTCAAAAGGTGATTCGGAAAACTCTTGTCCGATGATATTCAAGTTTATTCGCTGACCATGTCCTTGAAAACTGGCTTACCAATGTCCGACATCCTTTGCTCATCGCTGTCACATCGAGGGAACATTACCCCGAGCTTCACGCATCGTCGAGGGGTTTTTTTTCTCAACTTTCAGGCGAAAGGCAGGGCTGCCCTCGTCTTGTTGACAACATTTGCTCAACGGTTCGAGAGTGCTAACCTTCACCCTGTTTTCTTCATTGCCGGCGCCATTAGTCTAATTGAAGCTATTCCTGTTTGATGGTCTCGAGTTATGACTTTCGACCGATTAAGAGACTCAACAGTCCCCGATGGTGCCAAATTGTAGTCTCAAGATTTGGAATTGGAAAAGAGAGGGATGATCGGTTCTACGCATTGTTACCTCATTTCGAGTCTAATTATAAAATGTTACGTAATTTTAATTTTAGGGTCAATAATCAGGGTTGTCACAGAATTTAGAGAATGAAATTCCCTGACATTTCTCTGATTTCCCTGACAGATCTTGGTGAAATTCCCTGACAATTGAAGGTGAGATGAATGGTTAAGAGGACATGCATGAAAATAGTCTTCAGGCGAAATTTCTTGTTCAAAATCTCAAACCCATTCTAGAAAGTAAATGAAGGTGCTTTAACAAATTTTCCCTGAAATTTTCGTCATTTTCCCTCACATTTCCCGGTTTTCCCTGACTTTTTAAGATTCCTTTACATGTCCCGGTTTTCCCTGACTGTGGCAACCCTGAATAATCGGTCAGCATTTGGGAACGATGGTTCAGACTTCTAATACGTCAAAATGGTGCGAGGTGTGTTTCGCAAAAAATACAATGACCAGCATCGGGATATCGTAAAAAACAACCGAGCCACGCAGGTATTGTTAATTTTTTTTTCTGAGTAAATTCTTGAAGATATATCAAAGTTCCAACTTCAAGTGTTTTAAACATTTCTCAGTCCAATGCGTACAAAAAATTGTCGATACATCAGAAAATTAATTTCCCTGAAATTCTTAGGACGTGTGTACTCGTGTAGACTTCGGGGAAAAGTTGCTTGCCTTTCTAGATCTTCTCGAGCCAAAATAATAATTAAAGATAAAACCCTTGACTTGCGATTAGAAATGTGCTACAACGCATAGTTAGCGTCAGTTGTGAAGCCTAGCATTTTTGGTTTCCTTTATTAAAGAAGCGATTTTTCTGAAATATTCATTCCGATGATCGGAAAATTTTCGTGTAGTGACGAGAAGAAAAAAATCAAATCCTTTCCTTTTAATTGTATTGCCTTAGAGTGCCTATGTTCTTTTGAGAAAGGGTGAAAGTTTTTGCCCTGACCTTTTAAAATTTTAGCTCCCCTCCACCCCCCCCCCCGCGAGAACAATAAATCGTGGGCCTCGAACACGAGGAGAAGTTTGTGCTAGTTTTTTTAATTGATCCCGAATGGTGATATAGAGTTATTTTGTTGGTATCATGCGGCAACATTCGGCAGTCCTTCGCTTGTAGAGCGAATTTCGGGATTGAGATGATTAATTACTTTATCCCGTGAGACTAATTTTAGTTTGATAATTGTAAAAGCGTCACGTGTCGCTACCATCGACGATTAGGAGACCTTCAGTCGTGTACAAGTGCTTAAAGAACGCGATAATCGAGGTATTTTTCGACTCGTAGATTTTCCACGAAAAAGGGCGTTTAAAGCAGAAGTTTCTGCTTGAGCTTTAGGGTACTGTTTTCTTATTGTAGTGGATGAATTACCACGAATTCTAATACAAAAAACAGTATCGAGCTTTTAACGAAGCCGAAAAACAATTTAGGTGCGAATTTGGGACTAATCTGTGAGCTGGAATACTTGATAGAGATTTTTATTTATGGAATTTCGTTTCGAGGATACTGCACTAAACCAGGTTTAGATGGTTTCGGTGACGACTGACGATGCGACCGAAGATGAAAGAAATCAAAGCAAAATTCTGCTTTGAAATTAATTTATTTTTGATAATCTAAAAAATAAATTAAACGGAGGTTACGCGGTCTATACGGCTTAATTTTCTCATAAAAAAATATATAGGAAAAAATTAGGGGACGTAGAATTCAGTTAGGTTAATTTTGGTTAACTCTGTTGGATTGATTTTCCGGAATTTTTGATCTTGTCTGAGGCACGTCTAAACCCTTTGGTTCTAAACAACTTGATTTTTGAGCTTTATGATAGGTCAAAACTATAAACATGCCTCTTTACCAACCAGAATCAGGAATTTTTTCGAGTACCCTGAAAGTCTCCAAATCTATCCTCCCCAAGTCACGTACCGTAACATTCCAAGGACATTACCCCCGAATCCCCGAGATCACGAAGGACAGCCCCCATAATACACGGGTAAGTCTCGGTGAAATGTGCATTATTAGGCTCCCTTCCTTCCTTGGCGCGTAGTTTACAAAGAACTTGCTCGACGTCAAATGGCAGGTAAACACGTGAAAACGACGATTAGCTATGCTGTGCTCACGCGCATGTCTGATGAGACGCAGCACGATGTCGCCGTGTGGCGCACAGTGGATCGAGTCAACAAGAGAGGTCGGACAGGAAATTTTCGACTAAAAGTACAAATTTTGATGTTTATTTTGTCACACTTTAAATTTTAAAGGGTGCTTCGTGAAGAAAATTTTATGAGCAAACCATGAGACCGCTTACAGAACTTCAAAGTTTCGTATAATCGGAGTTATAAGCGTTTAAAGTTTCCAAATTTTGTTCGGCCTCTCCTATGGACTCGATCCACTATGCGGCATTTTATTCCCTACATACGGATTGAACCGGAATGAAAAATAATTCAGTTACCAAACTAACAGCTCGATGTAACGAACTAAATTATTTGATCGTTTTTCAGTAGCGAACGCTTGGTCAAGATGATTCTGCCTTTTTTTTTTCAGCATGATGTTCATTTTATTAGATGCAGTTTATGATTCATATTGCAATAAACAATTAATATTTTTGGTTCATCCATATCAGCACCTGAACGCACCTTCATATGGAGAAATGAATGGCACGAAAATGTTATTTCTATCGTGTACCAGAAATAGTGGTCCCTCATTGCAAAATAAAGCGTGCCTCATGAAGAAAATTTCACGAGAAAACCAATGGACCGATTTCAGAACTTCAAAGTTTCGTACAAACGGAGTTATGAGCGTTTAAAATTTCCAAATTTTGTTCGATCTCTCCTATCGACTCGATCCACTGTGCGGCGCCACACGTCACCGCGTCGCGACGCTATTGCCGACGACGGAACGCGACACCGCGATTTACATACCAATTAAAATGAGTGCTCCGTCCGAGCGCACCGAGTTGCATAGCTTTCAGGCGCTTTGCATTTTTATTTGGAATAAAAATGGTTATTGCACGGCTCGATCCAGCCAGAGCTTTGACCCTAAAGCTGGAAGAGCTATTAGGCTTCCGTCACAATCGCTACTTTTAGCAAGGGCGAAAGAGGGATGGGAGAGGGAGGAACATGCACCGATAAAAAACGTCGTAAGATTCTTGGCACCGTTTGATTTAATAAAAAATACAGCTGAAGGTGCCGCGGTAACTTAAAGTCACCCTTGCCAGACGTTTGATGCGAGTATTCGGTATCCTTGTTGTGTTTCACGCTAACTGACCGACTGCACTGCGTTTGGCGCAATGCGAGAAGTATTCATGCGGTCTTGTAGGCGCTAACATGGGCCCGCACTGTTAGGTGCTATGCGTGAAGAATTCCTAAAGTCTTGCAGGCGCTAGCATACATTTAACGCCGGCCGCACTGTGTTAGGCGCGGTTTTTCGAGCTCGCATTAGGATAATCGCAGCATCGAATAATAGATATTAAAAGGCCTATGTTGTGTTTCGACGCCGCGCGCCGTATGAGCATTCAAAAGTTGCATCGTTTCTCATGATTATATGTAAATACTTTTTCCGAGAAGAGCTAAGAAAGTTCTTTATACCCACGACCATTATTCAATATTTTAACTTCATTTATCATCGGAAGGTAAGTCGTCGATGACTTGTCGACAAACTAACCTGGACTAGCGTTAACATGAGAATGCGTCTATTTTTCAACTGTTTCCTGTTTTGCCAAACTTCTACTTTAAATTAACTTCATTTCAAATTCGTGCATTTCTGTAGCATATGTTAACGTTTCTGTTCGCGCAATCCTCGTGCCTTTTACGTTTTTAACGATTTTACGATTTTCCACGTATGCACTATGATCATCCATCAAGTGCGAGAGGACGTATCAGGCGTTTTCATCAAACTAGGATCGTTGACACTCAAAGCGAGAAAAAGACGCCATCATGAATTGCGAATCGACATATTGTCGGTTTCTTTTTTTGAAAAATTAAAGTCGACACAATTGTTCTTATAAAATCGGCAGTTCTCACCGATTATCGCCTTTAACGCATAAAGTTTCAAACCCCCTCCTTCCCATCCTCTTCATGCGAGATTAGCCCCCCCCCTCCCCCTTTTTAGAGCGTACATTAATTTACGCAAGGCCCCTGACGCAGAGTGGGCTCTAACGAGGGGGAGAGATGCAACCCCGCTTCTCAATGACGTCATTAGAGTACACTACCATTCACCTGTATCTTCACGCTCCCCCTTGCCCCCGCTGTTGGGGCTCATTGGTAAGGCGCACAGTGGTTCGAGTCAATTAAAGAGGTCGGCCATGAAATGTTTGACTAAAACTGCAAATTCTTACGTTCATTTTGTCAAATTTTAAACCTTGAAGGGCGCTTCTTGAAGAAAATTTCACGAGGAATCCAATAAAACCACTTTTAGAGCCTCAAAGTTGTGTATAAATGGAGTTATAAGCGTTTAAAGATTCCAAACTTTGTCCGACCTCTCCTATTAACGTGATCCACTGCGAGGCGCGAGGAAAAAGAGGGAGGACTGACTTACCGTTGAACATGGCGAAGAAGTACGGGCTGTTGGATGCTAGAACTACTTTATGAGCTTGTATGATGTCGACTCCGACACGTAACCGCACGTCGCATAACTGGAACAAAAGAAAATCGAGACCATTGTTAGAGATGTCTAAGAGTGAGAGGAGAAATTCGCAGATGCCGATTTTCTTGCTCTCGTGTTGTTCCGAGAAGTCGACCATTGACACGCAGCTTTGCAGCGTGGATTAAAAAAGTTGCTTAAGACTAGACGGAGATCCAGGGGATTAACTGGATGTAATTAGGCTGAAGGAAACAATGTGCGAATAAAGTCGATTAAAAGGAACTAAAAAGCACGCAATCCGATTTTCATAGTTTCTTTTCATTTAATTCAATTGCACATAATTTGTTTTAACATAAGGATGGTGATACTACCAAACCACGTATTTCGTTTGCGGTGTCTTAAAATCTCCGGTCCCATTATACTTCTTTGAAGAAGAAAAAAATCAACATCATTCCGCGAAGCCCTACACACATTCATACATGTATCACATTCTACGTCTCGTAAATTTCGCCAAATTGTTTTTGATGCAAACACGATTGAAATAAAATAATTGTAGGAAAGCATGCATTTTTCCAAAAAAAAATATTTACTAGTTCATCGCTTCCTTATAAAAAAAAAAAAGTTGCTTTATTCGAACGCACCAAAATTTTCACTTACAAGTTATTATTGTACTTTGTACAAGTGCGTTTTTAATCAAAATTTCACATATTTTTTTCAGCTTGCACGCAAAAATTTTAGACAGAAATTTCATAATCATGGTCACGTGAAAGATTTAATCGTTTGAGTTAATATTGCAACATTGGAAAAGTCAGGTTCCCTCGTCTGGGAAATGACAAATTACGAACCAAAAAGTTCAGTCAAGCAGGACAGATAGGTATGCGTTTATACAAATCGGACCAGGCCGAGTTGCGTATCATCCGAACTACAAACCATACTATCGAACATTTTAACAGCGTAAAGTAGCTTAAAAATTAAAAATTGAAGATTAGGATACTTGTTCAGCCGTAAATATTACCCAGCAGACCAACTATTGGAAGTTGAAAGCAGCTCGATAAGACACAAAATCGCTATGTACATCTTGTCTAATCGTGCTTACAAAGTTTCAATAATTGGCCCGTAGGGCACGATGCTCACTAAAGTGTGAGGGTTCTCAAGGGTAATGGCAGCTCCACCGAGTTACGCTGAGAGGGAACGGATTTTAAGCACCTTCAATATGAGAGTTAGACGAGTTAGACGAGTTGGCTTTTTGTCAACTTGCATACATGCTTAAAGTTGACGAATATAGCCTGTTGCATTCTTTACGCGGAATTCAACTTTGTACGTGCACTCCGGTACATCGTAAAAAAGTAAAAATTTCCTTCATTCGTAGTCCTGCTAGAACACAAGTTCAGCATTTTTCTTCAGATGAATCTGCAAGAGGGTATAAATCCAGTGAGTATAGAATCGGACATAAAATGCTCAGGGAATTCCTCGTGCAACCATTGCGTAACTCTCTGCTTCCTAACTACTAAACCTTCAACACCATTGCGTTATGTAGCATTCACGACCACGTGCCCAGAATGCGTATTGTTTCGTAAGTAATTTTCTGCAAAATTTCAAGAAATTCAACTTGAAAAATCTTTCAGAGTGCCAATCAATCGTGCGCTTGATTCAATACAAGCGCTCCTTGCCTAACATTAACTTCAAAATTATTTGTAAAAATAAAATTTGTCATTTGCCGTCTTAAATATTTGCTCTGCAGACTCATTCACGCCCACGTCACGAATAGAGATTGAATATTTGAAAGAAACAGTTTTTTTCCATTGAAAACCCTGAAAAAAGATCCTGCATTTGTTTGGCTCCAATCCGATTCAGTAGCAATCGCCTTCCAACAGTTCTGAATTGGATCCAAACAACGAATAACCTATTTCAGTGGAACTGATGAGCTTTCGAATGATCGATATCTTCTTGGAAGCCTGCAGGTCGATTGTTGAATCGTTATCGAATGATTCTGATCGATAACTCCCTATCTTCACAATGCTATATATCGATCAAGGTCATTCGATAACGATTCAACAATCGACCCGCTGGAACTGTAGCGACGTCATGTCTTAATGATTCTGCAACGATGGCAACAAAGAGGTATGCTGATAAAACCAACGGAGGGCACCAAATCAGAGGGTGAAAATCGTGTTGTTTTGGGGGGACTCGGACTCCAGACTGACTGTCTACCAAAGCGCTATTCGATGCAAATAAATTCTGATCAACAATCCTTCCTCGCAAAAAAGGTGCACTTGCAAAAAAACCGGAGTACTTCAACAAAGAGAAAAATTGAGACAAAAAATCACGCATTGAAAACAATCGATCACTGGATGAAAGAAAGAAAGAGAGAAAAAAATCACTGCGTTCAATATGGTTGAATACACATGTGCCGGCACATTAAAGCATAAAAACATCAATTTACATAGTATTTCCATAACGTGAACTGATTGCGTAGGAGGAGGGAGGGGGCCTCTCGAAAAAAAAACAGCAAAAATTGATCTGAACCATAGATTTACCCGCGGGAAGTGTTTGACGAAGTCGAAAAAAAAAACCATGCATAGATTGATCTGTACAATAGAATTACCCGCGGGAAGTGTTTGGCGTAGTCGAAAAGGCGGCCGCCCTCGGGGTCCTCGGAGGCCGGGTCTCCGTGACCCTTGACCCGGGGCTTCCGGGGCGGGCAGCGTTTCTCCAACATCCCTGCAGAGCGCGCACAGAACCGGCTTCGGACGGACGACCGCGTGTCACTGGGGCCGCGAGAAAAATCTCGGCGGAGGAAACTCGGCGCTTCGAGCTTACTCGGGAACCGGTTTGCGCTATTCTACATATCTCGGGCGGGCCGCCCGGGTGGGGAAAAAAGGCCGGGCCAAAAATGAGACGACACCTGGGAAAACGATTGGCTCTCGGTGACGTGGCCCGGCCAGGGTTGTCGGATGGACGCCGGGTAGCGTGGATAGAGCATGGCGCTTTTCCGATGAGTGAAGAGGAAGCTGGAATTTTTGCAGGAGTGGACGATTTGCGATTTTGCCACCTGTTCTGATGTTAACTCTACTCTTCTGTGATGCTTCGTATTTCTCTTATCATCCTATTTCTTTTTCTGATGCTTTTGTCTTCCATTACTTCTCCTAACTCGAGTTTTTCCTCTGTTTCTTTTCTTCTCATTTTACCTCTCTGTACACTGAAAAAAAAAAAAAAAAACTCCGGCCGTGGAGGTCGTACTTACAGGCTATACAGATATCCCGTTCGCGTTCCAGGCTCAGAAGCCGAAAGTTCCGGGCGCGGGCGTAGCATCCGGAGCAATCGAAGTTACGGCTCCAGCACCCGGCACTTTCGTCCTCTGAGCCCGGAACGGACGGTATATCTACGTAGTCCTTTAATTTTTTCAGTGTATGTACTTCTATGTAGTAGTCGCTTTTACAGCGCACTAATAAGGCGTTTTGCAACACCCAACCGGCCACTGGCGTCTGTCGATGTCGAGAATTTCCGGAGGCCGGCGTCTGTCTTTCTCTCTTTGTATGCAGTCCATCCACCTTCCGGCTGCAATCTCGCTCCTCACTCTTTTCAATATTTTCTTTCTCTGCTACATCTCTTTTGTCACATCCTCTTCTACTGCATGCGTTCCCCTCCACATCCTTCTCTCCTTACTCTCCTGATCCAATATATATTCTCCTTATTCTAAACTGAGAAAAAAGTTCGATAATGTAGGCCGAAAGCTCAGTGTTCAATATAGTTCAAACTAAGTTTTTCTTTAATAGAGAGTTCGGTTTTTGTAACTGAACTTTCAGTTTGTATGACCAGACTTTCAAATGTAACCAAACTGGGGGGGGGATGCAATGCGAGCCTAGCTTTTGGTCACACTAACCTAATGGTTTGATTGACATTAGACGTCGAACATTCGGTTCACATGAACTTTTTTTTTCTAAGTCGACAAATTCTGCTTCTTCCACAGCTCCTATTTTGTCGTTTTCTCCATCCCCTTTCTGTTCGTCCTCCTTTTTCCTTTTCCTTCCTCTTTATTGAATGGAAGTCCTGTCCGCGAGAAGCCCAAATTATACCTTTGGCCTTTCTTACGATAATGACACAGACACTTACGTGAAAAAAAATTCGGTGTATCCGAACTAGTTAGGATCATATGAAACTAGGTTTTGTTCGGTGCGCACAAACGAATTATTCGGCCTGCTCAACCAAACTATAAGAATTTGTTCTAGTTCGGTTCAGCGGACCGAACAGTTTGGTTGAGTAGACCGAATAATTCGGTTGTGTGTACCGAACAAAATCTCGTTTCATAGGCTCTGTTCTAGCTCGGATTCACCGAAAATTTTTTTTCAGTCATAAAGTTTCAGTTAAGTCATAAAGACCGAACTTTCGGAGTTAAGTGACGACTGGGTAATTCAATTAGTTACATAAAATTTTTCATTTTTTTTGACCAAAAATAAGAAAAAAAGATTCTATATTACACGCGGACCGAAAGTTTTATGAGACAAAACCTAAGAGTTTAATCAGTGGAGTGAACTATCACGTTCGGTTCAAAGGCAACTGGAACAAGGTGCGCGACAACCGGTCTGAAAATTTTCGATGAAATTTGGCGTCAGCAACGCCGTTGAACAAACGTGTTTAATCGGCGAAGTGCCCCACTAACACGACAGAGTCTAGCGCCGAATGGCTGTGCATGCCGTTAGCGGAGGAAACAGCTGGCCGGGCCATTCCTGGGCGGATAATTCTGGAAGATTCACGCATTGGAAAAATTCAATCGTAGATTAATGGACTGGTGTGACTGGTCCTGCTGATCAACTCGGCCGGAGTCGTGCGACAAAGCGCGGTCATCAATGCGCTCCGTCATGCTGAGCAAAACCGCGTACGTACACGGGATATCCGTTGGGATTAGACCAGTTTTGGCAAAAATAGGCTCTGAGTCATCCAAGCTAGAGTGCAGTGCAACTAACAGCGAGACCGGTTTAGAATGACGTCAGTATTCTCGTGGTGAATCCTCCCTCTATATGGGGCACAAACCCACCGTCGGTTTTAATTCTG